TAAATGTTTTATTATTTATTTTTGAGAGAGAGAGAGAGACAGAGCATGAGTGGAGGAGGGGCAGAGAGAGAGGGAGACACAGAATGAGAAGCAGGTTCCAGGCTCCGAGCTGTCAGCACAGAGCCCGACACGGGGCTCGAACTCACAAACCATGAGATCGTGACCTGAGCCAAAGCCGGACGCTCAACCGACTGAGCCACCCAGGCGCCCCACTAAAAGAGGCTTTTGAAACTCAAAAGCCAAAAAGCTGTTTGGGTTTTTTGTAACTCTCCTGAAGGTTGCAGAAATAACCCTTTGGAGGCTGGGGAAGGGCCATGGGCTATATGTTGATTTGGGGGGAAATAGTTAATACTTCTGACTGTTACCCGCTGCACACTAATAACAGAGACAGCCCGTGGCGCTGCATGGCCAGGACTCCGGGGAGATCCTCAGGTCAGTTTTGGTCCTGGAAGATTAGCTGTAACACTTTGGGAAAGTGACTTCACTTCTCTGAACTAGAGGAAGATGAGAAGTCACCTGTCCGAGGGTGTAGACTTGTCCAGCGATGAAGTGCAAAGCCACCCTCTTACCCATCACTCCAGCGGCTGGTGGGAACCGTAGATTTCCTAGTTCTGTCTTCAAGCAGAGGAAACCAGGGCCCAGACACCTGTGCACACCTGGCCAGGTGCGGGATCTGGACACCGGAGTCTGGAAGCATCTTCTGTGTTTGAAGAACCATGTAGCTGGAAAGGGGATATTGGAGTCACAGAGGTCAGGACCATGTGGGGGTTTTCTGCCCTCCCCCATGACTCACCCCCTGAGCCATGCCATGAATTTGCTTAAGGTGGCTACCTGGGCTAATTCAATGGTGTTGATGAGGTTGAGGTTATGAACTTGTTCTTGGAGGTCCTAAGCATCACCGTCCTCCAGCCACAGGCTGAGCTTCGACCCCCAGTGATGCCTTGGGCTCTCACCCCAGACCTGGGGGTCTTTACGGTACAAGCTGTAAAGTCAGTCACTTTAGGCCACGTGTTCTGCAGGAACAAGTGACTTTCCAATCTCCATGTCTTACAAACACCTCCTTGATGTGTTAGCTTCGACTGTGCTGAAGAAGTTTCCGGAAGGAGAAGACACTGTTTGAGACATACCAGGCTCAGGATACACGAGGCTCATGGCAGAAAGAAAGGAGAGATGTCAGGACCACTCAGTGGCTCTCAGAGTTTCTTCTGGAGAATGGAAGAACCACGTCCTTGTGCACCGCGCTGGCTAAAGCAGGTTGAACAACTAAGAGTGACGTTAACAGGGCAGGAATGTTTAATCCTCACACAGAGAGAGGTGTGAGTATTTGGAGCAAAGCGAGAATCGACCAGAGAGACCTTTAAATCATTCATTCATGATTCATTCACTTGTGTTTGTGATAAGCAGTTAATGACACCTGCTGTTATGGGGTAACCTACATCCCCTCCCAAATCAGGAGCTGACGTCCTAAGCAGGACCTCAGAATGTGACTGTATTTGGAGATAAAGTGTTTATAGTGGTGACTGAATCAAAACAAAGTCGTTAGGGTGGGCCCTAATCCAATGTGACCTGTGTCCTTGGAAGTATGGGGACACAGACATTCACGGATCATCGGTGAACCAAGGAGAGCAACCCCCAGAAAGAACCAAGCCAGCTGACATTTGATCTTGGACTTCTGGCCTCTGTGAGACAACACGCCCCCGTTGCATAAGCTGGCCTGTCTGTGGCACTTTGTTACGGCAGCCTGAGCAAACGCATACACCAGCTTTGTGCCCTGTGACCGAATCGGGCACAGACCTGCCTGCAAAGTGCATACGATCTAACAGGGACTCTTCATCAGCTAGGTGATCAGAACACACAGTGACGTGTTTCATACTGAGGGACGCGAGGGGTTATGGGAAAAGAGACAGACATAGCTCATCCAGTCTTGGGGTGAGGGGATGGTCAGGGAGGGCTTCCTGGAGGAGGGAACATCTAGGGTGGTACCTGAACAATGAGCTGGAGTATTTAAGAAAAATGCAGGGACATTTCTTAAGGGAGAGGTGCAAGTGAGGGTGTGCTTTGTGGATTCTGGGAACTGGTTTGCTTTTCTTAGGAGGGAAGGGAGAGAGCGGGGCTGGAGTTAAGTGTCAAGCTGAGCCCAGGTCAGGCCCGGTGTAGGACCTATCTTCTTACGTGTCCCCCAGAGGGTCCAGGAAAGGAGATCCTGTGGCTGGCTTCCTGAAGACACGTGCCGGAGGAGGTGGTGAGGATGAGGGGCCTCAGGTGAGCCCCGGAGGGGCCTGCTGATGGTTGGGGAGCTGGGTTCGAGGGCACAGCTCTCATCCCCTCTGCTGGTGCAGAAAGGTTACACACAGCAGCCCCCCAATGTCCTCGTTCTCTAATGCTGGCAATCAATTGCGTCTGGCTGCCTGGGGATGCATACACACACTTGTGCACGAGTGCACACACACACACACACACACACACTCTATCAGCTTGTTTGGGCTGCTGTAACAAAGCACACAGACGGGGTGGCTTAAACAACAGAAA